TTTTTTTTTTATCTAATCCCCTCCCAACTTTATATTCTATATTCTTTCTTTCTCTCTCTGTTTTTTAATTTTTAATGTTTATTTTTGAGAAAGAGAGAGAGAGAGAAGAAATGAACGAACATGCCTGGGGGAGGAGCAGAGAGAGAGGGAGGGAGACACAGAATCTGAAGCAGGCTCCAGATTCCGAGCTGTCAGCACAGGGCCTGACGCGGTGCTCGAACCCACGAACCCTGAGATCATGACCTGAGCCACTCAAGTGCCCCGATCTTTCTTTAACAATGCAGAATTTAATATTTTAGAATCTTCAAAGCCCTTCCCCCACCCCCCCAACACTAAAATGGACTTTTCTTCCGGGGATATATAACTGTAGAGCTCTCATCTCTTCTGCTAGTTCTTCCTAAGAGCCACACAGGCTGCAACAAGAAACAATCCCTCTCTCTGCAGGAAGAGTAAACTCGGCTTGCTGCTGTCCTCCACTGCAGTGTAGGCTTCTATGCTACAAGCACCAAGCTCTCTAGCACTGCAGTCTCCAGCTGTGCGGTGGTGGCACCTACCCAATGCACAGCTTCTTTTCTTTTGGGTGATGTTCAGATTCTCAAAGTATTCAAGCTCTATATTCACTATTATCTGAAGCTCAGATTAAATATAAATGGTCAAATTCAGGAATAATGAATCCATTTGATCTTAAGTTAAACTACCTGCATAGCTGGTATCTAAGTCTGTTGTCTTCTGCTATCAGCTGCATTTTAACTATGGTATCGGGCAAGCAAAACAAGGTGCAGACAAGCCCCTGCAGGAAGAATTCAAACACTGTCAGTCTCCTAGTCATCCTGCTGACCACTCCTTCCTCAGGCTCTGGTCTCTGTGCCACTCTGACTGAGCCCGGGGTGGCAGCCATGTTTTTCACGATTCCTGACAAACACAAGGAAGCTCTCTCTAGACACTTTTCATAATGCTAAGAGCCCTCTTTAGATACCTCTTTTTAACTCATTTCCCCCCTTCCCGCTGCATACTTTTACTCTGCTTAGTATTTGACCCAAAATTTTCTACATTTTCCCCTGCCACTCTGCCTCAAGTATCTTTATTTAACAGTTATGGGAGTTTGTGTATTTCTATTATGACACTTGACCTTGTACAGCTGACTAGGGGATTACAATAAGGCTTCCTATAACTGGAGTCAATGGAGTCAAATCCCATAGGACTGAGAAGATAACTATTCTTTTTCACGATTCAGAAATACAGACACCCAGGCCAAAAGACTGTGAGCTATAAACTTAGAAATCTTTCTTTTCAGGGATCCTACAGGCAAGTTAATTTAATGTTTCCTAAATGTATCTATGGAATAGCCACATAAAAAAAACTTCTGAGGAAAAAAAAAGATGTTACATTCAAACTCTCAGGAAGTATTAATAGATATGTCCTATCATAATGGAAAAGAAAAAAATGTATATGTCCTTTGCTCACTCAAGGGTGGAAAGTGAGTTTGGAATCTAGTTTGTGAGTCTGGAAAAGTATGACTAAGTTTGTTTTGCTGCACATTAATCATTATAGAAATAGGACCACATTTATCTAGAACTTTGTCATTTCCTCCCCTAAATACAAGCCACGATGATGCCACCTGTCTCTTCTAGAACAAACCTTGTAAAACCAAACTGAAAAATTAACTGTTGGGGCACCTGGGTGGCTCCGTTGGCTGAGCGTCCAACTTTGGCTCAGATCATGATCTCACAGCTCGTGAGTTCGAGCCCCGTGTTGGGCTCTGTGCTGACAGCTCGGAGCCCGGAGCCTGCTTCAGATTCTGTGTCTCCCTCTCTGTCTGTCCCTAATGCACTCGCATTCTGTCTCTGTCTCTCTCAAAAATAAATAAACATTAAAAAAAAAAAAATCAACTGTCCCGCTTCTATCACCATTGGAGAGGACCAATCTAACCAGGCTACCACTTTTTTAAGCCTCTTTATTTTTTCACCCTTTCACTGATACATAAACAATAAGATACAATGTAAAAGTCTATTGTAAAAAGAAAAACAAAAGAGAAAAAAAAACAGTTCAGGTCCTATCCCAGACTTTGGAATTCTTCCTGAGGTGCTTGCAGAAGCACTTCAGACCGTAGCAGTGGCCAAGGAAAAACATGAATCAGGAATCAGGAATGGAAAAGACATACTCAGATATTCAGCCTATATTCCCTTAGGGTCACATAAAATTATTCAATATAAATTCTTCTGTGGCTTAAGATAATCTGACAGGGTTTAAAAATAAATACTTAATTACTAATTGTGAACTAGCTTTCTACTACACATTCCCAGGCCTTGCACCCAAGATGTAGTTCCAAATGATGATTTTAAAAAGAAAATTGATATTTCCAGGTTTATACTTTTTGGTGTTCATGTTAATGGTAACTTGTGAGGAAAGACTTAAGAGAACTTCCTCCAATTCAGACAGCTGAAATCTGGATTCCTTAAAAATAAGCTAATTTCTTTGAGATCAATGCATGAGGGGTGGGCTAGGCTCTGAAAATACTGATACTGGGAGACCTCTTGAAAAAGAAAAATATATAACATGAAGAAACTGGATATAGCAATAGGATAGATTATGTCTTTTGGTTTTTTTTTAAATCTCTATACCCAACATGGGGCTCAAACTCACAACTCTGAGATCAAGAGTTGCACACTCCAGAGACTGAGCCAGCCAGGTGCCCCAGGACAGATTATGTTTTTTTTTGTTTTTTTTTTTAATTTTTTTTTTTTTCAACGTTTATTTATTTTGGGGACAGAGAGAGACAGAGCATGAATGGGGGAGGGGCAGAGAGAGAGGGAGACACAGAATCGGAAACAGGCTCCAGGCTCCGAGCCATCAGCCCAGAGCCCCACGCGGGGCTCGAACTCACGGACCGCGAGATCGTGACCTGGCTGAAGTCGGACGCTTAACCGACTGCGCCACCCAGGCGCCCCAGGACAGATTATGTTTACAATGACACTTTCTCAGAAGCTGTCCCAATGTATTTTTTTTTTTTTTTTTTTTTGGTCTTAATAGTAGGTAAGTATGAAACTAAATATGCAAAGCCTATCAGCACCACCCAGCACAGCAAAGCTTCTCTCTCGTCTGCTTGGGCGGAGGCTGCTGGAGATTGCTATTGGCCACTTTTGTTCTGAAACAGGCCTCTTTATCTGAGGGTAACTTGATTAAGTAATATTTCCTAATACAAATACTTTCTTAGATTAGGCTCTTCTTTATTTTTACAATCAGTCTGAAATCTCTGTTTTTAAGACTAAATTTAAGTCCTAACTGAACATACAGAAGTCAGTGTTTTCACAACAGGGACTTAGCCTCGCCCTGAGAACTGAAGCACCATGCAGCACACACAGGTACACATGAATGTCTTTCTGAATGAGCCGCAGATTATCCAGAATTCCTGTACTTTCTCTCTCAGAACTGAGCGACTGCCTGCCCCCAGCCAGACCAGGGGCTGTCATGCGACATAACCGACCTTACCTTTACGTCGGCAATAAGAGCATCTTCATCTTCTATCCCTGTGGGGACGCATTTCTTGTGCAGTGGCAGAGACTCCAACTTATCTACAAGACAGCGAAGGCCTTCAAGCTCAAAATGGGTCAGATGCACCTGCCTGTCCTTTCGGGGGCTACACTGGGGATCCCACACTTGGCCATTGTGGGAGCCCCGGCTAGAGTCAGAGGATGAGTCCCCCGACAAACTTTTCTTCAGACTTGGAAGACTTCGGCAGGTTTTGCCCAGTCCGTCATAGTCCAGGTTGACCCCATTGGCTACGGGGCTAGTGAGGACAGAGCGCCTACTGCTCAGGCGCCTTGGTTCTCGATCCACTGCTTCCTCATCCCCATTTCCAGATTCCAACCCATTTAACTCCAAATCTGCCAGCAAGAAAAAAAATATAGTAAGAACATGCCACTTGACTGTGTGATCAACAAGAGGAACAGGTAGCATGGAAGGGGCCCTGAGGTTATAAAAAGTCAGCTGAAAATGGCTGTAAATTAGTTTCAAGTCCAAACTGAAATTTGGGATTATGATTTCATTAACTTTTCTTCAAAAAGGCAGATATTATGAAGCATATACTTACAGTTTTTTTTAATCAAGTTTATTTTGAGAGAGAGAGTGCGCACACATGCACATGTGAGTGGGGTAAGTAAGGGCAGAGAGAGAGAGAGAAAGAGAGAGAGAGGGAGGGAGAGAGAGACAGAATCCCAAACAGGTTCTCAACTGTCAATGCCGAGCCCAATGCTGGGCTCGAACTCACAAATCTGTGAGATCATGACCTGAGATGAAATCAAGAGTTGGAGGCTTAGCTGACTGAGTCACCCAGGTGCCCCTAAAAAGCAGTTTTATTGAAAGTTTTGCCATAAAATTAAACTTTGGAATTGAATCCTGTCAATATGGCTAACAAAGTGAGTATTTCTTTTTAATTTTTTAATGTTTATTTACTTTGGAGGGGGGGGGGGCAAGGGGTAGAGAGAGAGGGAGACACAGAATCCGAAGCAGGCTCCAGACTCTGAGCTGTCAGCACAGAGTCCGATGCAGGGCTCAAACTCACAAACCGTGAGATCATGACCTGAGCTGAAGTCGGATGCTTAACCGACTGAGCCACCTGGGCACCCCACACGCTGAGTATTTTTTAAAGGGAAGATTTTTGACAGTCAAAAGTTTTAGTGAAAGAAATATTGTTAAATGTGAATTGGTTCTTTGTTATGAAAGTAATACAAGAAACAGACCCTAACTACAGAGAACAAACTGATAGCTAGTTACTAAAGGGGAGGTGGGTGAGGGGATGAGTTAAAAAAGGTGATGGGGATTAAGCAGTGTGCTTTTTTTAAATTTTTTTTTTTTTCAACGTTTTTTTATTTATTTTTGGGACAGAGAGAGACAGAGCATGAACGGGGGAGGGGCAGAGAGAGAGGGAGACACAGAATCGGAAACAGGCTCCAGGCTCCGAGCCATCCGCCCAGAGCCCGACGCGGGGCTCGAACTCACGGACCGCGAGATCGTGACCTGGCTGAAGTCGGACGCTTAACCGACTGCGCCACCCAGGCGCCCCAAGCAGTGTGTTTTTTGAGATGAGCACCGGGTGCTATATGGAAGAGTTGAATCACTATATCGTCCATGCATGTTAAGTAACTGGAATTTGAATAAAAAGTTAAAAAAGGGGGGGCACCCAGGTGGCTCAGTCAGTTGAGCATCTAACTTCTGCTCAGGTCATGGTCCTGTGGTTCATGGGTTTGAGCCCCACCTTAGCCTCTGTGCTGGCAGTGCGGAGCCTGCTTGGGATTTTCTCTCTCTCCACCTCTCCCCAACTCGCACATGCTCTCTCTCAAAAATAAATAACTTAAAAAAAAATTTTTTTTTAACGTTTATTTTTGAGGAGAGAGAGACAGAGCATGAGCGGTGGAGGAGAGAGAAAGAGGGAGACACAGAATCTGAAACAGGCTCCAAGCTCTGAGCTGTCAGCACAGAGCCCAATGTGGGGCTCGAACTCACAGACCGCGAGATCATGACCTGAGCTGAAGTCGGACGCTTAACCCACTGAGCCACCCAGGTGCCACCCCCCCCACCTTTTTTTAAGAAAACTATATGGGTGGGGCACTTGGGTGGCTCAGTTGGTTAAGTGTCTGACTTTGGCTCGGGTCATGATCTCATGGTTTGTGAGTTTAAGCCCCATATTGGGCTCTCTGCTGTGAGCAGGGAGCCTGCTTTGTATCCTCTGCCCCCCACCCCCCGCCCCTTCCCCA